AATGTTGAAAGGACAGGCAGGGAAAGAAGTCTGGGCATGGGAGGTTGAAAGGGAGCAATCAGAAAGAGACTGGGACCACCCTAGTGCTCATTCAATGTAGCTGCCTCTATAAAAATACACCATGAGGGATCAGGGTTAGCTGGGACCATCACCATCGCTTGCCACATCAGCTAATTAATGATGTAGACATACACTGGTTCTTTTCCCTTGTGTTTGAATGATACGCTGTTACTTTTGACAGACAGTTACCTGCTCTGCCCATCCACCAACTGGCCCATCCTTAGCTCTAGAGGAAAGCATGCAGGGAAGAGAATTTGGCTGTGATGAACCTAGGAGTAGCTTTATAGCAATTGCTCCAGTTACCTAATCCTAATCAAAGAAGGAAACGTGTAACTTCATCATGCTATCACGTTTCTAAATCCTCCAACATTTTAGTGATTTGGTGTTAATAACCATTTATAGCAAGTCAACATTTTACATCCAATTTATCTTGAAGACTCGTCTAAGAAGTTACCTGGTTCTAGGATAAAAATTCAGTGGACACTTTTCTTGGATCGTTTTGTGGTCAGTGATTACACTTGCTGTGTATTATTTTTAGGAAAATTGTGTTTTGACCTTAAAGAGCTTTGAGGCCCTGCAATAGAGCAGATCCCAAATGATTTATTTACAAAGATGTAGGCTCCAAGATGCTTACTCCTTTGGGTCTTCCCCCAAAACAGGGTAGGAGGGCCTTCTGTTTAAGTTCCAGGCACTGTTAGTCCCTCCCTTTTTCATAAAATGTAAATACAAGGCCTTCTGTCTTTGCTGTTGCAATGTTCATGACTATACACCTGACCAGCACATATGATAACTAACTCCACTAATTATCATTTATACCAGGACTAGTACTTACTAGAATAAACAAGATATATGAAAGATTGTAGAAGGAAATGCAGTCTTGATTTCTTTAAGAAATGATTTCCTGAAATCGGGGGTCCTTAACAGATCCATAAATGCCTAAATATTCATATATGAGCTTCTAGAAGCCCATATACTCTCCCTGTCTTCCCGAGCATGAGCTTTAATCAGGTTTTCAGGAGGGTTAAGAACCTCTACTCTGGAGTATATTCCCTGATCAAGCCTTAGTTGAGCACCTGGAATGTGCCACTTTTCTCTGTCACCCAGGAAACTCATAGCTGAATATACACGAAGGATGTTATTAAAATGATGCTAATTTTGTTACAGTTTTTTCTTATGAAAATTCACACAAGATATTTCTCTGTGTTTTATAACTAGGAATAGATGTGAATAGATTGTTTTGAATGAAGAGCAGTTCACAATGTTAAATTCTCTGTTGGTTGTTAGAAAGTTTAGGGCCAAACTCTCAACCCACCTGCTGCCCAAGTGCTTAGGACTTCACAGTGTGCATTTTGTGTTACTTTTTTTAAAAAAATATTTTATTTATGAGAGAGAAAGAGAGTGTGCCCGTGAGATAGAGAGCATAGGGGGGAGAGGGGCAGAGGGAGCAGGAGAAGCTGACTCCCCGCTGAGCAGGGAGCCCCACTCTGGGGCTCTATCCCAGGACCCTGGGATCATGACCTGAGCCGAAGGCAGAAGCTTAACCAACTGAGCCACCCAGGCACCCCATATTTTATGTTACTTGATGTTGGGGTTTGAGGGACTAATAAATAACACCCATGTCCCCCAGCCTGAGTTCTAAACTAATTGAGAAATAGACACTGGAGACCAACAGGTGGAGATCCAAATGTCAGCTTTATTACCAACTCAAGCTAGGTGGGAGAATGCAGCCTATGTGTGAGGAGAAGTGGGCTGGTCATATTCCATCCCGACTTAGACAAACTTGCCCACCAAGTCACAGGCATGGTTAGAAGCCCTCACCTTCTCTGCAGGAAAGTGTGAACTGTTGGCAGACAGACACACTCTTTCCAGAGGGGATGGCCTCTCAACCCCTTCTCCAAAATTCAGAGAAACCCCTCTGGCCCTGGTACCTGGCCCACCTCCCTGAAAGAGGGGCGGGGGCAAGAAGCAGGAGCAGTACTCTAGGGAGATCCTTCCAAATGGCGAGACGGAAGCCATTACCCCCAATACCGAAATTCTGACCCTCATTCTCCCTTTGCCCAGTGTCCTTAACTATTTAGCTCTTTGCAACAGATATATTTTTTTGAAGTTCTTCACATTCTCTTTGGACCAGGTTGGGCCATATATGTCAACTGAAAAAAACTTATTTGAAAATCACAGGAATCCTAATATTTTTTATGGTATGAAATAACTAAAGGCCACACAACTTAGAGTGCTTCAAGAGGAAGGGATTGTAGGAGTCTGGAAATGAGTGAATTATGCTTCTTGTGCCTTTCAGTGTTTAACTTAAAACGCTTGTGCCTTGCCTGTCTTTAATACCAATTTTTTAAACTCTGTGTTTTAAAAACCCAAAGGGATATGCATATTAACATGTCTCACCTCAGATTAGCTATAGTTAATATCCGCAAAGAAGATAGACATTATAGAATTTTCTGTCATAAACCCATTTTAGAAGAGACAATGCCAGGGGCACCTGGGTGGCTCAGTCAGTTAAGCATCTGCCTTCGGCTCAGGTCATGATCCCAGGGTCCTGGGATCGAGTCCCACATTGGGCTCTCTGCTCAGCGGGGAGCCTGCTTCTCCCTCACACTCTCCCTCTGTGCTTTCTCTCTCTCTCTCAAATAAATAAATAAAATCTTTAAAAAAAAAAAAAAAAGAAGAGACTATGCCAAATTCCTTAACAAAAATTCTAGAACTGATAGGTCCAAATATGTATTGTACCTTGCAAGAGACTCAATTGGAAAAGCAATACCCTTATTTCAATGAGGCCGTTATTATTCTGAGAATTTCTTCATTAGAATGGCTATTGGAGGCTTCAGAAAGTATCTCAAACAGCCTAAAAAATGACAAGTCTTTGTCCTGTCAGGTGAATCTGATTTTGGAAGCAGCCATTTGGAGCTATGTTCAGTAAATAATATACCTATTCAAATTTGGTGACAAAAAGTTTTAGTTAAAAATAAGATGATAGGGCACCTGGGTGGCTCAGTTGGTTAAGCGACTGCCTTCGGCTCAGGTCATGATCCTGGAGTCCCGGGATCGAGTCCCACATCGGGCTCCCTGCTCAGCAGGGAGTCTGCTTCTCCCTCTGACCCTCTTCCCTCTCGTGCTCTCTATCTCTCATTCTCTCTCTCTCAAATAAATAAATAAAATCTTTAAAAAAAAATAAGATGATAAAAGAAACTATGGCAAATTTTCATGATCTTGGGTTTGGCAATGGTTTCTTTAATATAGCACCAAAAGTATAGGTAACATAAGAAAAAATAAATTGGTCTTCATTAAAATTAAAAACTTTGTTCATCAAAGATAACTGTCAACAGAGTGAAAAGACAACCTACAATTTGGGAGAAAATATTTACAAATCATATACCCGATATACATGCAGAATATCCAGAACATATAAAGAACTATAACTCCACAATGAAAATTTAAACAATCTAATGCGAAAATAGGGAAAGGACTTGACTAGACATTTCTTCAAAGAAGATATACAAATGGCCAACAAGCACATGAAAAGGTACTCTGCATCATTAGTCATTAGTGGAATGAAAATCAAAACCATATTGAGATAACAATTCACACTTGCTGGGATGGCTGTAATTTTTTTAATTAAAATAATAATTATAGAAGAAGATTTGGGGAAATTGGAGCCTTCATACATTGCCAACAGGCATGTAAAGTGGTTCAACCACTGAGGAAAACAGTTTGGTGGTTCTTTAAAAGTTAAACAGAGAATTACCATGAGCCTGCAATTCCACTCCTAGGTATATGCCCAAAAGAACTGCATTCAGGGACACAAACAAATACTTGTATGTAAGTGTTCACAACAGCACTCTTCACAATGGCCAAAAAGTAGAAACACCCCAAGTGTCCATCAATGGATAGATGGATAAACAAACTGTGGTACATCCATACAATGGAATACTGTTCATTCATAAAAAGGAATGAAATATTGATAAATATACAATGTGGATGAACCTGAAAACATGAAAAACATATGCTACCTGAAAAAGCCAGATACAAAAGGGCATACTGTCTGGTTCCATTTATATGAAGTACCCTAAAAAGGGCAAATTCATAGACAGAGAGTAGATTAGAGGTTACCTGGGGAGGGTTATAGGGAATTTAGTGGGTGCAGAGTTTCTATTCAGAGCAATAAAAGAATTTTGGAAATAGTGGTGCTGGTTGCACATGCCCAGGATATGTACACTTTAATAGGGTTAAAATTTTATGATATATATATATGTATATATATAATTTCTTGTTAGGCATTACATGTAAAATATATAGAACATTGTATTATTAGTCATTAATATAAAACTAAGCAGATTTTATATAACTGACCACAACTTTAAAAGCGTTCAAAATTTACAACAGTTAACATTGCATTTTAAGGAGTCTAGCAGTTCTTCCTTTATTTTTCTTGACAAATGCCCTGTGGAAATAATGAAATGCAAACAGATTTTATATCAAATTAAACTCTCAATAATGCATATTAATACCTTAAAAGAAAAAACAAGATGATTAGACAGTGGTGAGAGCTTTTTCCCGTGCTTCCTCCTGAAAGTAAAGCCCTTGATGTGTGTAATAGGAAGTCAAAAGGGAAACCGGGTAGATTTTGCTGTTCAGGAGAATGTGTCATTTGTAGATAATTGAATTGTGGTCAAATTGCATAGTTCACATCCAGTGCAAAGAAACGTCAGATCGTTTATGTTTAGTCAACTAATGTTGATATTAACACCTAGAATATGGTGAAATCTTTCTAAATAGGGCAGGGAACCCATTTTTCCCTTCTATTCTTTGCACGCTGAGTTTGTTCTCAAAGAGCTGCAGTCTTAGGCTCGTAATGCACGGCTTCGTCCTTCCTCCTTTTGAGCGAAAGCATTAGAGACGACTATTCACGTGCAACCCTGGTTCTTTTCCAGAGCATAGGAAACTTGGAAATATGACTGTGACCGTGAAGAAGACTGTCCCCTCCCCCGAAGCCGTGCAGATTCTCTACCAGCGAATGAGATACGAGTATGAGTTCTACCACTACGTCAAAGAGCAGTTCCACCTGCTGAAGCGCAAGTTTGGACTGAAGTCCCACGTCAGCAGGCCCCCTCTGAGACCCCAGTTCTTTATTCCAACTCCACTGGAAACCGAGGAGCCAATCGATGATGAGGAGCAAGATGACGAGAAGTGGCTAGAAGATATTTATAAGAGGTGATGCCAGCACTGTGTTGCCTCCACCGGCTGTAGCTCCCTTTTCCAGAAAGTTCTTTTGTGGGGGGGAGGAAAAATCCTTAAGGGACTAAATTAATGCTCAGCTGCATTAAAAAGAACAAAACATGCCCATATGTTGGGGTCATGGGGAGATGCCTGGTTTTGCGGGTCTCACTTGTCTGACTGCATTGTGTCTTCCTGGCTCCTTGGGTCCTGTCCCAGGTACACTAGATGGCGCCATCATGGGGCATCCCATCATAACATAGCTTTTCCTTCTAACATCATGAAAGGAGGGGGAGAAATAGAGCCCATGGCCCAGTAACTTATCATTTGTAAAATGACTTGTAAAAATATTACCTCAGTGGTAGGACACATCCAGACTTACCTATTTCGGTAGAAAGACAAAACCACTTCAGAGACCAGGGAATCCACTCTAGAAGGATCTAAGAGGAGAAGCTAAGACTGATAAGGACCTCAAAAGGGAGGATGCCCTTGGATGAGTGGTTTCTGCCCCCGTGGGTAGAATTCTGCCTCTGGTCCATCTCAGGGGACACTTTCACCAAGAGCAGCGTACTTATCTCTGAAAGGAGTCAGCTCTTGCCACACCCCCAACCCATCTAGAGCCTCGGGTACCTTTCAAGGTCAAGGGGCACGGCAAGCTCCACTGAGACACTCCCTTTCCGAACACCATTCTGACAGATATCAAAGCAGTGTAGCAGGGAAAAGAATTTGTTTGCTATGTAAGGAAGACTGTAGGCGAGACAGAGCAACTCTGGAGGTCACGTGACATCAGGAAAATGGTACTGTTGTGTTCTTTGCACCCAGTATGAAACATCTCTCTCCCCAGCATGCTTTCACTGGAAACCCAGGAACCAGTTTAGCTCTGGCATTTGGCGGCTGTGGGCAGAAGTTCTAAGCCTGACCACAGACAACGATGCATAATCTACCAGGCAAACCCCTGGCCCCAGTTGGGTCCACAGTCACTGGCATCTTTCACCTTTGGTCCCTTGAGAGGTACCTGGTTTTGGTAAAAAAAAAAAAGGGGGGGGTCCTGAGTTCTACTCAGGCAGCTGTGAAACCACAGTCCCATTTCTTATGGAAGCAGCTCTCTCCTGAGAACGCTTATTAAGACATTAAGAAGAGAAGAAGCAAGAGCTTCTGGTGTCTGCCTGACCAGCTCTCTGAGTAGGTGTCTCCCTGCAGAGTGGTCTGCATAGCTGTTGGGCAGTTCCATTGCTCCAAATATCTCTTCTCCGCATTTCTCTCCCGTCATCTGCCACCTATTCATGATCCCGTGGGTCTTCGGCTTCTGAAATGTTTTCATCATTAACTGCTCCCTCCTCCCCAGCCCTGAATATACATATATTCCTGGGTGGATAACATACAGCCAACCGAGAAGCAAGGGTGCGGGTGGTGATGGTAGGCAGGATACTTGCGTCAGATTTTATCTCCTTCATGTTTTTTCCCCTAGAGCCAGTCCTTTCAGACCACTAGCAAAGTGTGAGTTGGGAACACTTAATAGTAAATAAGACTGACTTTACACAAGCTACACATTTTCTACTTTTCAGAAACCAACAAGTCTCTCTAGAGTTTTTTCTTCGTTCACTAAAACTGGACGGTAGCCAAGATATAAAGCAAGTCCTTTGGAACCTGTCGAGTGAGCACTAAATCTACTTTATCATGAGATGTACTGAGAAGGCTCCGCCCCACAGGAGTCCAGCGAAGGCTGGGACCACAGAGGCACAAAATCCAGCATTTGGCCACTGGTGGGCCTCCTTTCTGCCTCAGAGAACTGGGGCAGAGACGTGCTTAAGAAAAATGTTCTTAGAAGAGGAAATATCCTTTGTCCTGTTGAGAGAGGCCAGGGCCCTACCATTAGGCCTACCTTAAAAAGCAACACAGAGAACCGCTGTCCTATTGAAAACAAAAACAAGAACGACAGCCTGGTACATGGTGAGTCATTTCTCTGAAACTGCACATAAAGAATGATAATTAGTTCACACACTGTGCAAGCTCACTCTCTGAAAATAAAATTGAATTGGCTTCGTGGTTTCTCTTTGTCAGAACATCAGGACCACTGGTCATGTTAGCAATGCATCATCCTCCGAGTTCACATGAGCACTGGGTGTCCAAAGGCATTTATTGTCAGCAGTGATCCTGATAACATCCCAGCAAAAGATGCTGACGGATTCACTTGCAGGGCCTTACTGTTACTCTGTCCCAACAAATAGCCTCTACATCCTGATAGTCAAGGCACTTCATCAGTTTATTGGCACACATGACAACATTTCTTTGGCCCTGAGCCCAACGCAGTTTGTACTTCATGAAATATATTGTACATTTTACATAGTTTAATTTAAAAAATACATTTTAAGCTGGTTGATCTTTGACTGCCTTATTTATTATAACCTTTCAGCACATTCCAAGGTTTTAGTTACTCAGGAAGGAGTTAATTAAAATGATTTTTATTTTGGTCTGATGGATGTTTTTTAAAAGGAAAATTATTATTATGAACCTTCAGCCTACTTTCCTTGAGTGCCGTAAAAGTGCTTGTACATCTTTTTTTTTTAAGAAGAAGAAAGAAAAAAATGGTGTTTGACATGGATGGAAATTCAAAAATATATATGGAACTGAAACATTAGCTTAGCTAAAATAAAAGCAATCTGTGTTTGAGATGAAGTGTTCCTTAACTTATTCATTATCCATATAAATAAATGAATATAAATAAGTTGAAATTTTTTTTTTCCATTCTGTTGATAGCTGGAAATAAAAGTGCCTGCTGTTCTTCACAGCGCCCTCGGCCTTCTTAATTGGCCAACCTTTTTCCATCAAGGCGTGCCTTTTTTAGGAAGATGTATTTTTTTTTAAGTCCATAAACTCTATTCTTATGATTGGATGACACCAAAAAGCTGGCTGAAAAAATGAACTAGAGCTAGGCCTTCATTCATCCGGTTGTGTGTATACGAGCCCGAGCAGCTGACTTTACCCCCATGTGTCCTGGTTGGTTTGGTGCCGGGGTGGTTCAGCAGAACCCTCAAGCCCCCGATTGCTGGTGTCTCAGCTGCACATCTGCCCCAACACAGGCAAGGAAGGATACGCCACACCACGCCTCTTAGCATGTATTCTGATCTCTTTCTCCGACAGGTAGAGCCTCAAAAGCTGGGTGATTCTCACCTCCCAAGCAAGCAGTTTTGATCCAGAAACACTCTTCTTGTGAAATTTCACAGCTGCATCAAAAGGGACTTGCAGGGATGCCTGGGTGGCTCAGTCGGTTAAGCGTCTGCCTTTGATTCAGGTCATGATCCCAGGGTGCTGGGATTGAGTCCCGCACTGGGCTTCCTGCTCAGCCAGGAGTCTGCTTTTTCCTCTCCCTCTGCTCCTGCTCATGTTCTCTCTCCCTCTCTCTCTCTCTCAAATAAATAAAATGTTAAAAGGGGGGGGGACTTGCAAGAGAGTCAGGGAGTCCCCAAGCTTTCTAGCTATCAGACACCACGTGCCAACTACATGTGGCTATTTTGTAAAAGGAAAGAATCAGGATCTTGGTACTAGACAAAAGAAAAACCTATTTTGGTAATAATATGCTTTAAGTAAGAGTCTGAGTCTTAAACAACAAGTGACAAGTAGTTACATTTATCATTTAATTTGTTCTGTAACTTGGTCACATGATGTCTGACTCTGAGTGATCTTTAAAGACAAAAGTACTGAGCAAAACCTGGACCATACCCCCTCTGGAGTTGCTTTGTTTGGTCTGAAGTTCTTCATAAATGTGCTGTTACCTACAAGTTCATCCAGTGAACTATTTGGCTTTAAATGAAGGTTGTGGATAATGGTAGGATTTCTCAGAAGGCAGAGTGATGATCCATAAGCATTCAGAACAATTGTTCTGTGGGTCAAAATTATGAAATTCTCTTTTAGTAAAAGTAAAGAGGATTTATTTTACTAAAATAACTTGCTTCACATCTGGTGATGAGGAGAATAATTTTTTTTTTTTTAAAGTATGTTGAATATCCCACAAAGGAAAAGCCTGTTTTAGGCTAAAACCAATATTAAGAGTCTGTTAAGAAAAACACATAGAACTTCTTTCACAGCTCAGAAAATTCACTGTGGCAGAGTTCCGTGTGTTAGGGCCATAGACTGGCTTAAACAACAGAAATTTATTTTCTCACACTTCTGGAGGCGAGAAGTTTGAGATCAAAATGTTGGTTTCTCCGGAGGCCTCTCTCTTTGGCTTGTACCTGGGCATCTTCTCTCTCTGTCTTCACATGGTCTCACCGTGTGCCCCCTTGTGTCCGGGCCCAAATTCTTTTAATAAGGACACCATTCATCTTGGATTAGCACCCACCCCAATTCCTTCATTTTAACTTGATTAGCCCTATAGAGACCCTATCTCCAAATACAGTCACATTCTGAGGTGCTGGGTGTTGGGACACCAACATATGAGTTTTGTGGGGACACACTTCCTCTCAGAACACCCAGATGCTAGAGAAGTTAGACCCGAGGAACTAATCTCTGACTAGGAGAGAAGCAAGCCTCAAATCAGACCCCTCCGACGGCAGTGAGGCTCAGCGGTCATCTGGCCCTTGTCCTTATTTTGTACGTAAGGAATTGAAGGTCCAGACAAATACAAGACGCAAATACCTCACATGTTAACTTTTTCCATTGAGGGTTTAATTAACTTTCGAATATCGAACAAATCAAAACTTTAAAAATGATGATCTAGCCAAAGTTCCTCTACTGACCTAAATCCGGGATGGAAAGGATAAGCCACATCCAGTACCCCCTGCCTCATGGACACCGCCCCCCTGTGTGGCTCTCCTGGGAGTGGGGCCTGTGGAACCCCCTTCCACAGAGGGAGACCCTAATCACTTAAGGCCTCAGAGACAGATGTCAAAATAAACCTGTTTCATTTTAGATGTTCCTCTCTCAAAGAATTTGGGCTACATGTTGCCCCTCTCAGATTATAGAGTTTTATTTCTATGAAAAAGCAAAATGAAGATTCACGTTCTACTTCTTGTAAGGAGTTTCAGAAGGACCTACCCCCAAAAACAAAGTCAAATGCAGCTCATAAAACTCGTGGCAGACAAGTGCAGACTTGCCCCTGGAAACCCGGAGCAAGAGAGTACCCAGGACCCAAGCGCTCCCTGGCCTCTCCCCTTGCCCACCGACTGCTTCACGCACTCGAGAATTCCTTTCTGCGTAGGCCAGGCTTGGCTCCTGGCTCCCGGGCCTGCAGATTCCCAAGGAACACCCAGACCCAAGGGTGTTCATGGGTCACAGAATTGTGAACTGACCCCTTGTGCCCTTTGGCTTTCAACTTGTCAACATGGGGATTCCCTTAAAAAAAAAAAAAAAAAAAAAAAGGAAGGGAAGAAAAATCACTGAGCAAAGGAAAAATGTGAGCTAAGTTTTTCCTTTGGAATCTTGGCGTGCGCGTTTAGCTATCTTCAATCTGGCTCTCGCCAGACACTGTGCTTCGAGCAGGCATGGAGCAATCTGCCTTACACTGTGCTGCCAGAACATTCAGACTTGACCTGTAACACGCCTCCTATTCCAGTCATGAGCAGAGACAGCCGTCAGGTCGGCCGCGCCAGACGCAGCATGCTGGCTGCGTGGGGCAGCTAGAGAAGCCTCTAGAACCAGGAAGCAGAGCTGCTGGCTGACAAGGGCATACACACTGCACACCAGCAAAGTCCCCGAGTTCACCTCCCAGCTGCTCTATTTCACTGGGCGCTGGAGTAATAAGTTACTTGACCTCTCCCTGCCTGAAGTCAGGCCAGCTGGAAAATAGGAGGTCCATTGAAAACCAAGAGTTGCTTCTGGAATGAACTTTGTCCCCCCACCCCACCCTCCACCCCCACATGCTAAGAGACTAAGAGCCACAATCCTTTAGGGGCTGATGAATGTTCGTTTTCTCCACAAAGCACTCTGTCCTCAGGAAGAGAGCCTATATTACACATAATTCTAGGTCCGTCCATGCCCCCAATCCCTCACGCCTGCATGTGGTCCCACCCAACCTATCACTGAGTCCATGGAAAGCAGCCTTTGGGAGATGCGAATGGAACCAGTAGGAATAGGCACATTCTAGCGGACGTGGGTCAGTATTCTTAACCTGTGCCATTATTCAAGCCAAACCACTTTATGGATTTCCAGTTTTCTCTGACACTCTCTTTGGGAGGAGGTTGTCTAGCTGTGCGTTACAGGAATCCTCTCTAACTCACAGCTTCTAAATACAGGCATCTTCTAACTTCTTTAAAGTACCCTGCATATCTCTGATCCTGTTCATGGTAAAAAGCCTAAAACATCCATGTCAATTAGTACAGGGTGTGCATAAGAAAAGTTTTCATAAAGGTTGGAAACCCAATAGGATGGGGTACTGTACTTTTTGGCATCTTATTCTCAACGTGGCATCACTGCTCTGACGTTTTTGGGAGAAGTCTGGTAATGATTTCGTGGGCTGGTGATGTGTGCAGCGTGGTCAATCCTTCTGACTCCATTACGGGACTGCCATTAGAGGACTCTAAATCTTTTGTGTTACTAATTTTTTACTGATCACAAACTTCTTTACAGCCACCCTATTTGCTGCTTATATCGAATTTACCATCTCCTTTCCTCCTCTGGCATACTTTCCTATTTGCTCTCCATCTTTGATTGAAAGTTAATGAAATTCTAATCCAGTGCATATTCCCAAAAGATAGTTCAAGAACCAGGTGTGTGAGATAGTCATGAAAAAAATCCTTTGTGTTAAACAAGTTGGAAAATGCTTTAGCTCAAAGTGTCACAGTACAGTGGTATTTTAAGAGCACACTAAGGGTCTGGAAGAATACTGCAGTTTTTAAAAGTCAGCTTATCTTGGGGCACAGTCGGTTAAGCATCTGACTCTTGGTTTCAGCTCAGGTGGTGATCTCAGGGTCATGAGACTGAGCTCCGTGTCGGGCTCCATGCTCAGCACAGAGTCTGCTTGGGATTCTCTCTCTCCCACTCTCTTCCCACTCGAGCTCTCTCTCTCTTTCTCTGAAATAAAGAAATAAATATTCTTTTAAAAAGTCAGTTTATCTTTGTCGAACCCCACATTTCTCAAAACTATTTGTCATGAAACCTTTATGAAGGAAGACCTATTAATAGTTGTGGAACTAGTGTTCTGGACATTACACTTTGAGAAACATTGCTTTAATGTGTCATTTTCCCCCCATTGGAAGAGTTGCTTTCCTTCCGCTATGGTTCGATGTTTGGTCTTCCAAGTGGCTCATGTATCCTGCTTGAGGAAAATGTAGATAATGCAGATAATTAACATTTTGAGAGATAGAAGGTGGAGGCAAATAACATTTTTAGTAAAATAATGAACAAGGAATCATCTTTCAGTTTTGCTCATGCTCCTTAATTACATCCCCCTACTTTACGAGAAAGTGGAAACTCTTTTTAAGGTGATTTTTAAATAGTCTTTAATATTATTTGGATGCCTCGAATCAATTCACGACTTCCATGAAGACTGGTGCTCAAATCAGATTGGATAAAGAACATCCGCCGCATTTCGTCTGTGCTTGGTTCTGCAGTGGGGAGCTAACGGTGGCAAAATGGAGATCTCCCGTTGTTCGGGTAAGGTTGGCGGCTGGAGATAAAAATGCTCAGCTCTTGAGCTTGAACTCAGCCTTTGCACACTGGGGTACCTGTGTTGTTCAGCACACTAGGGGGAGCCGGAGCCATAACATTTTACTCAGGAAATCCAAGGTC